TTTTACAAGGTATGATAATTCTCTTGATCATTAGAATCATAAAAAATAATTAAATTATTATAAAATAAAAATTGACAATATTCATCAATTAGTAATTATGTTTTTCATGTGACTAGTTAAAATAAAATAAGATAATTTGTATTCCCGTAATTAAATAAAATAATTAATTCCTCGTCATTTAAAAACTAAAACCTAATGCATAAATTCATTAGCTACCTGGAACCAAACAGATTATTTATTAAAATATAGAAGAGTTTCCATCTATAATATATTGAAACCTATTATTAAATATCACGAATTTACAAAATTCCAAAATCTAAATATTTTAATCGTGATGTCAAGGTCAATCACATGTCACAGGGTTTTTATTTATAAATGAAAATATAATATGGTGTATTACGTAGTAGGTGACATAGCGTATACGCAGCCGAGTGCTTTAGATTCTTTCTTCTATAAACAATTTTGTCCATAATACACATCTTTGTTCAAGAGGGATTTTCAATTGGGAAAAAATCATTACTCTAGTTAAAACTGTTAATTTCTAATATGTTTTATCAATATATGGGAGAGATAGATTCTCGTGTAATTTAGAAAGGTTTCTAAAGGATCTTTTAATAAAGATCAATGATATTTACATACGTCAAAAAACAAGAATGCTACAAATTAAGAAAGCTAAAGATATACGATACCGTATGAAAATTAGTTACACTAATTTATGTGTATCTGAATAGATCATAAATAATCTATATAGATAAATAAAAATAAACAAGAAATAAAAATAATCTTAAAAGAAAAAGATAATTCCTAGCATTGGGAAATAATTTTTTCAATTAAAGAAAATTTGTGTCAATTCTTGTTATAATCACTTTATTCAATTTATATAAAAAATTATCCTCTATTCCTTTAAATTGAAATATTTCAAATTATCTTTACAAATTTTAATGAACAGTTTAATAAGTTAATAAACCGTAACTTAGTATTTTAGATTTTAATAATTTCTAAGTTTATGTAGATTACAAAAGTGCAAGTTTACATAATTTGGGTGAAAGTAAATTTGTTTATAGTAAAAAATATTCAGTTAATTAAATGACATACTCATATTGAAATTAAAATATGATTTTGGAATTTATATATATTGCCCGAAATCACAAATATTCACAATTAATTACGTTTTAAAAGTAATTTTTAATTAGAAACGATTTAATACATAATCAAGAAAAATATGTTTGAAAGACATAATCGCAACAATGTAATAAATGATAATCGTAAATACAGGAGAAAAATTTAGTACTCCGAGTCATATCTTGAATATAATCTAATTATAGGCAATACATCAAGCATTAAATATTTTAGTGGTTGTAAACTATTTAAATAACAATAAAATTAATGAATGTGTAAGAAAATTGTAAGCAGAGTTTATCAATCTTAACACACCTACATGTAATACTGATAAAATGTGTATGAAATTATAAAAATTAATCTAGTTTATGACTTTATTGTTTAGGTTTGAACTATACTGTATATAATATACTTCTAATCGTTATCCATATTACGTTTGATCAAAATAAAAACTTACATCAAAATACAAACAATTAATTTACTATTCTATTACTTATAGTCTAAAAATCATTAAAAGATCGTAAATTTATTCTTTACAATATACCCAACCAATTTACTTCTTATCTATTGAGAGCTGGGCCAAAATTAAAAATTGTAGTAGTACAAAATCTTTCTCAATAAAGTCAGAATAAAATTTATTTTTTATTTTTTATGCTTGGGGGATTATATAAAAAATATATGTTTTTATAAAAATTGAACAAATTTCATAATAAATAAAAACTACCATTTTCATAAAGTTATTTAAGAACTAGTATTAAAAATATTTTATTTTAGAATTAACCATCAAATCGCAGTTTTTGATTATTTCTTTATTATTTAACTTGATTCAATATATTAAATACACATATATTATTTACCACATATATCATTCCATTATCACTCAAATAGCTTTAGTGGAATATGATATACTTATGAAATAATAACAGTATATTATAACTGTACTAATTATATGTCTTTCAAAGATTATGGACATTATATATAACATCCTGGCAAATTAGCTTTGACTAACATTGTAGACACCTCTGGCATAGGCATTAATATAATTTACAATTTTCTTATACCATTTCTTAGTCATCATACCATAAATCTATAATATATCAAGCAATATTATCCTTTTAAATATCGAAATTGTACGGATTCAAATATGCATCCAGTCCAACTTACATTAGAATATTAGCAATTCTTCATGCCAAGCCTATTACATTATAAATTAGCTTGAATTTCTTCATATACTATATAAATTAATAGCTTTTCCATTAATCTTATACAGTTGTTGATAAGGTATTGTGAAAACCATTACATAAAGTATAGTGGTGTTAAAAATAAGTTCTACATACAAGTATTGATTAAGAAATAATAAAATTCAATTTTATAATAAAATTATGAATTATTATTATTATTTTTCAAAAACTTCTTTTTGAGAACAAAAATATATTATTTCAGATTATACTATAAATCTTGTAGGCTTTTAATTATTTTATTAATAGTACCTGTCTAAAATTTATGCACGCACTGTTATATTATATTTTAATATATATCACGTTCTTAATTTGTTGCTTGAAATAAAATTGCATATTTTAAAATTTGTATTATTAATAAAAAGTGAAAAACAATTATAATGCAATTAGGCAAACCCTGAATTTTAAAGATATGTTATGAAATTGTGAAAATAGAATTCACTGTAAAGAAGCGTATTATTTTTACGATATAAATTTTAAAATTTAAAAAATACAATATATGAGATCAAAATAAAATACATGTATTTGAATAAAATAAAAACAAAATTAAAATAATTTGAATTTAATAACTATTTCGCGAAATTATTATTAGTTTATATGTATCACCTATCTATATTTATATTGTTCTCGATAAAATGATTATTATAGTAATGATTATGAAATAAATCTTTATAGAGACAATAAAAAATTAGTATACAACGTAATATCACAAAACATTATTTACATTTTGAAGGCTAGGGATAAACCTTAAGTATACACATTATTCCAGCAATATTTTTCTAAATAAAATTAAAATACGTTATCTTTCAACCAATGTCTAGATATATTTATACATTATCGTAACTCAACTCTTCCTTCTTTACTTTATACACGAAACAAAGATCTGCGTATTTAATTAAAAAAATTTAATTCCGCAAAATTTCTTCTCGCGCGATTCAAAAGTTCTATATTATAAAACATGGTTCTCGATCTCGTCATCATCGTCTTCTCAATTCAATTAATTCCTATTTATGACGATTAATTTTCCCTTTCTCTCTCTCTCTCTTTCTCTCTCTCTCTCTCTCTCTCTCTCTATCTATCTATCTATCTATCTATCTATCTATCTATCTATCTATCTATCTATCTATCTATCTATCTATCTATCTATCTATCTATCTATCTATCTATCTATCTATCTATCTATCTATCTATCTATCTATCTATCTATCTATCTATCTATCTATCTATCTATCTATCTATCTATCTATCTATCTATCTATCTATCTATCTATCTATCTATCTATCTATCTATCTATCTATCTATCTATCTATCTATCTATCTATCTATCTATCTATCTATCTATCTATCTATCTATCTATCTATCTATCTATCTATCTATCTATCTATCTATCTATCTATCTATCTATCTATCTATCTATCTATCTATCTATCTATCTATCTATCTATCTATCTATCTATCTATCTATCTATCTATCTATCTATCTATCTATCTATCTATCTATCTATCTATCTATCTATCTATCTATCTATCTATCTATCTATCTATCTATCTATCTATCTATCTATCTATCTATCTATCTATCTATCTATCTATCTATCTATCTATCTATCTATCTATCTATCTAACTCTCATTGTCTCTCTTTCTCTATTTAACCCTTGGCTTTCATTCTATTTTGAAAAAATTGAGACCCATAAAAATGGAAGATAAAGAAATTAAGAAAGAGAGAAAAGAGAAAAATAAAGAAAAAGAGGACGGAAAAAATAAATATGAAATAATTGTTTTACATGAATGTAGTATCCATTTTAGAGAAATTGTAGTTTTAAAGTATGTGATTCAAATTTTCTGTAATATAAATGCTATAGGACCTGGTATATATATATATATATATATATATATATATTATATGTAATTTCATGTTAATAACCATTGGATCTAAACCATTTTTTAATCGAATACAGGAAGAGCAGCTCTTGATATTACTATATACTTTGGAGAAATTGTTCACTACATTCATTCTACTAAATTTAAAATAAATTTTTAACATACTGCTTTATAAATATTTATATAATACTTTATAAAAGAAGAATTCCTTTATCATTAGTTTTGTGCTGATCTAAGTTCAAAATGAATATACTTCCGTCAATGCAATACCATTGCACTGCAAGATTACAAATTTTAAGTGATTTATAATCTTATTCTCATTTTCTTGAAACATACCCGTAAAATTTATTTTTGAATATATTTAAATAAGGACAATTAACACAAATAAAATGGCAGACTATATTAATTTCAAATCCTTTCTGCTTGCGAGCAAATCTTATAGACGTAGAAGAGAAAGGAGGTGCAGATGCAAGCGTAAGCCGTGAGTCGAATCGGTATTACAAGTGTCTGAGCGCTGCTTTGTATGGAACACAAAGAGAACACAGTTAAAGAAAGTACGCGTATCCAAAGTCACGATAATAATAAAGATAAGAAAATGATGATCATAATAATAATGATGACAATGAAGACGATTATTACGATGATAATGGCAATGATAATGATAATTAATAATGCTAATGAATTTAACGACGATAAAGATAACGGCGACGACGATGATGGTGATATTAATAATAGTATAGAATTAAAACGAAGAGATACCGATGGAGCTCATCCGTGGAACAGCTGACTGGATGCTTTCCACCGTCGTCGATCCTTAACTTTGAGGTAGAAGAGCATGATATACGGGTGCCTCGTAGAAGGCCCCATGAGTTGCCTGTAGCGCGTGGATTGCATGGTGGTGATGATGCCTATGTATGGCGCTTGTGTATACATTGGACATGTTGGTCGCGGCGGCGGCAGCGACCATGTATGATGAGGCTGAGCCCGTCGGCAAAGCCGAGGTCGTCAGCGAGGAGGCCGACGAAGTTGAAGACGTTGAGGAAGCTGATGAGGATGAAGAGGATGAGGAGGAGCTGTGCTTAATGTTGGAGCGCAGTTGGGAAGAGGCAGTACTCGTTGTTCTGCGGTAAGGATGATGTCCGAGGATCGTTGGTGTCGCCGTAGAGCCAATAACTGCCTGCTGATGATGATGCCTTTGAGAGGATGTTGGTGCAATCATCATCGCCATTCCGTACGATGTTGATTGAGTTTGCTGAAATTGATTATGTTGCTGTTGTTGTTGCTGATGTTGCTGTTGCTGTGGTTGTTGCTGTGGTTGTTGCTGTTGCTGTTGCTGCTGAGTTTTGCTCGAATAGGCCTGCTGAAGAATTGTTGTTGATGCGGTCAGGGAGTTTGACTGTTGATGAGGATGCGAATGGTTAGTCTGATGATGCTGATGTGTGTGATGGTTCAGCCGATGATGAAGTTGAGTCTGTTGCTGCGTTTGCGTTGGCGCCGGCTGTTGCCTTTGGAAGTACTGGGGATAGAGACTGGGTGCACTCAGAACCTTCTCGTCGAGTTCCGTAGTCGCCTGGTGTTTCGGGTACTGTTGGTGTTTGACTTCCGCCTGGTGCGCACCCAGAGCCGCAGTCAATGCCGCGTGGTAAGTTGCTGCTGCAGCTGCGGCAACGATGGCCGGTGCATTCTGTGCATCACTCGCAGTAACAATAGAGGCCAATGATGGAGAAGGTAAAAGGTTACCGGCACCATTTTCCGGATGAAGTGGTGCGCTCGAAGTCATAACCGACGACGATGATGACACTGATGCCAAAGCCGAAGATGACAGCGATGACTGATGCTGATGCTGTTGAGTAGAAGCAGCGACTGCAGCCGTCGCTACTGGCATCACTGGATTCACCACCATCCCCGTGATACCTAAAATTGTCTGATTCTTACTCCTACTGCCAGAACTGCGTCGCGAAGAAGAGGAGGAAGAGGAGGTACTTGTCCGAGGTGGCAAGTTATTGACAAAGAGTGTGCGTTTTTGGCGTTCTGCCCGCCTGTAGTAGCACGGGTGAATCATAAGAAGGGGCTCGCCACCACCTGGGGGTGGCTTCGCTTGACTCGGCAGCTCGTATTCGACGCTGCAATCAACGTGGAGCGGCTGTGAATAATCCTTGTAGACGGGCGCCGATGCTGGGAGGATGGTCGCGCTGGCGGTTGACGAAAGGCCGACCGGCGACAGGGAGGCAAGCGCCGGCGTCGAATTCGTAGGCGCCGCTGCGGTCGCAACTACCCCGAGAAAGGTTTCGCGTCCTAGTTGAATCCTTCCGTAGTCGCGAATGAGAGTTGGGGGCTTGCTGCAGGCCATCAGGATCTCACCTACCTTCCGCTCGTAGCATGCTGCGGCCATCTTTGCCAGTTGCTGCTGTCTTCTTCTCGCGTGCCTCTCGGACTCCCTCTGGCGCCTGTCCTCGCTCCGGCTTCCTAGACGTTCAAAGTAACCTCTTCACTCACCATCATCGAAGGCTGGATGTGGTAAGGAGCCCACTTCTGCGCCAGTGATAGACAGTCGATTTTGGTTAATTCGCGTGGATGGTAGAGAGGAAAAAAATCCTCTCTACCTCACAGCTGTCATTCTCGTTTCTCTTGGCACTTTCTTATTGCTTCTGATCTTATTTCGTTTTCTTTATTCTTTCCGATCTGTTTTTCTTGTGTTTTCCACTTCCGGAGACGATTGTCATGTAACTGTTGTCATTCTCGAAAAGTCTCAGGTTTTCTGGTTCTAGTGGATGAATCTTATTCGCTTGAGCGATGGGGAAGGCTGCGCACCAGCGAGTAAACGAACAAGAAAGGATAGAGAGAGAAAGAGAGAGAGAGAAAGGGCGGATATATATATATATATATGTATGTATAAGGTCGTACGCAACGATCTGACAATAAAGAGACAAGTGATTACGGCAGTAGACTTGAGGAGTACGAAGAAGAATAATAATACATTTCGTGTCTGTTTTTTGGCTTTTTTATTATATTTGCACACCTCCGTAAGTGGCACGTATGTTTTGTAAATTCCTCAGAATCCTGCGTCAGACCAAAGAATTGTATTTCTAACGCCGGAACCCAGATGCTTTATACCACCCTTAACATAATGCTCCCTCCCTCCTTCCCGCCGCCACTCTCTCTTCCTCTTGCTTTGTGTCTGTAACTTGTGTTCGTAACTTGCTGTCCTACATGAGGCTCGAGCAGACGTACGACGACACCGGTGAATCCTCGGAACTGAAATGTAGCCAGAACTTCCGTGTCCGAGAATGGCTTCGTTGTCATTCAGAATTGAACCTAGGCTGCACTTGCGCCGTCTGGGCGTTTCTCCCCGTGTTTGTACGACTGTAGTCACTTAACGTTAGTATATGCACTGATTCTTAAACACTTTTTTCACATCACCTTCATATTACGTAAACACTAAGCACTCTTCTTTTCTCTTGTTGACACACTCTGTTCTCGGATGTATCTGCGAATCGTTACGTATCTGCTGTCGGAAACGTATTCTAAGAAGCAATGACGTTCGAAAAAGCTTAAAAATTCTTTGTCTCTGTTCGTCTGTCTGTCTGTCACTCCTTCTCTCTTCTTCACGTTCTTCTCTCTGAATGATAATTCTTTATGAAAAATATTCAAACTATACGACTCATTTGTCACTCATCTTAATTACACATTTACCTATATACGCTAATTAACTTGCTTCCACATAGACATAAATTTTAATATATGAAAATTCATAGGAACATAGAAAAGAGGGAAGATGCATGAAAAGTCAATTTTTCTTGACTTCGTATAAAAAGTATGCCTCGAGTTTATTTAAGAAATGTCGATACTTCATAGTGCGACACTCCTACAAATGTTGGGCTTTCGGTGCGCGCAGACCCTAGACGGCACTGCCGCCTCTTAAACTTGTGCTCTCTTCACAGTAATAGATACGATAAGAACACCGCCAACGTCGAGGCAGAACTGAAGTCTCCAGTTCCCCCAGTCGCAGTCAGTCAGTCTCTCTTTCCTCTCGCTCCCACTCTTGTACTCGAATTTAGCAGCCACCCGCTCTACCCCGCACTGGCCGTCGCCCATGACGGCCCTCGTGGTACCATCGCCGCAGCCGCCTCCCACCCGTCTGGTGTTAGCTGCTCTCGCTCCCCTCCATCCATTTACATTCTCACTCTCTCACCCTCTCCCATTTCATCACTCTCTCTCGCTCTCACTGTCTTTCTCTCCCACTCTCTCTTTCTCTGGCTCGATTTCTAGCCGCAGAGCCAAGGAATATCAATGCCAATGCGCTCGAGGTTGAGCGAGACAGAAAACACGACGAGGGACGTCTATGAGGGGGCACAATCGAGGGGCACCCTGTCAGCCACCAGCCACTGCTTCCACTACGATGCCTCCTGTTCCTTGCTTGCTCTAAAGCCCTCTCTCTCTCTCTCTCTCTCTTTCTCTCCCGCAGCCAACTTTATCCCTATGCACAGGGACGGCGGATACCGGGGCCCCTTCTCTTATGTCCACTAAAGAGCACAGGCGTTTCTCGGTTCTTGAGTTTAAAAAACAAAAAAAAAATAGAGATAAACTGAATAAGAGAGAGAGGGAGAGAGAGAGGGAGAGAGAGAGAGAACAAGAGAATGAAAGAGAGACCAACAGAGATAAAGCGAGAATATGACAGGAACTATTAAAAAGGAGCACTGCCTGGTTTTTTATCTGAAGTGGCTAGTTGAATTTTAGTAAGAAATTTAAAGGATTTAATTAGTTGATTGCATTTCGTTACGGTATATTTATTCTTTGACATTATAAATCTGATACAAATTTTATTTTTAATATAAACATTCTTTAAGATTATGGACTACTCTTTCAACTTATTTAATCCCGATAATTTAAAAAGCAATTCTGAAGATTTCTTTACCAATTTATGATTTTAACATTTCTTTTATATACATTTTTTAGATTCAATTAAATCATATTATTATACGAAACACTTCGCGAATAAACAATTGTTTTTAATTAAAATAATGTTCATCTTAAATATAATTAATAAATGAATTTATTACGTTTTTTATAAATGAAATAATTTAAAAAAATTTCTAAAGATCTTATTTTTAAATCGCTCTTGTCCATATGATCTGGTTTTAAAACTAATAGATATTTACGGCCATCTATTTTTAAAATTTTAAATCGTTTACATTAGGAATATTATCCGCCACGAATAAATAATGAAAAATATACAAACCAAACGCATTACTTTAAAATTGTAAATTTTGATATTGTTCGTTTTTTTTCTAACTGATGCTAATACTATTGAAAATTATTCATTTTTAATAATATTCAGATTGATGCATTTAAATAATTAGCACAAAAATAGCCTTCAATTTGGCATTGTGTATTAATAATAAAAATATATGTTGATATGAGGTTGTCGTTCACATCAACGCTATAAGGTTTTCGTTCTGGATATCTTAAGTGCTTAGTTATACCTGTTGGTTTATACCTTATGCATAATTGGCATGTAATTGATTTTCTCTAATCATTTAAAAATATATTTAAAACATATTAAATAAGAATTCCAAGTTATTAATAATAAAAATGTAAATTAAAATAACTATATTATTTTGCTACTATTATATAATTATTGTTTATTTACTATTTATCTACATGTATATATATGGGGAAAAAATTATACCGTTTACTTTATGATTTTGTCTTCTTATAAATAATTTCAATCTCCTAACTGCAACTAATAATCATTCATTGACATATTGTATTTATGTATATTATATGTAAAGTAAAATGTTTTGCTTTTATAGTTATTTATTTAATTTATTCATTTTTTTTTGTTCTAATATTTTATTAATATTAAACTTAAATTCAATAAATCTTATTTAAGCCACTGTAAAATCTATAATCACTTATTTTACGATAAAAAATTATTTAAGATAAAAAAATTACTTAAGATAAAAAAATCTACTAGACATGAATCGAATTCTCTTTGTAGTTACTATAAGACAACATAAAAAATATAAGAACAAATTATGATAAGATGAGAAAAAAGAGAAATAGAAACTATTACGCTTTATTTGATTTGATTGATTTGATGCTCAATAAGTTAAAGTAATTCAAATGTGCATATAAACAAATTTCATTCATTCTTTTATTTCAAATAAAAATAATAAGCTTCATATTATTAAGAAAATAAATTCGACTTTAATTTAACGGTATAAGTAACATTTCGAATAAAGTATTATGAATGAATTGAATGAAGTCTCTTTTTTTAATAACAATATCTATACTTTTTGATCAGAAAAAGTTATCTTATGAATAAAAAATTATTTTTAATATTATTGTGGCTCATTACCATAAAATATCATTCTCTGCATACAACGATAAAAAATTTCATAATTTAATAAACTATAAAAAAGATAAATATATATGAGCTTTAATAATATCTATAAAAATATGAATTTTTTTCTAGACACAAAATATTAAAAAAAATAAAGAAATCTATTTATCTGTAAAATAAAAATTTGACAAATAATATATTAATTAAATAAATATAAATAAAGACAGTATCAGGAATTTGTTTTAAAAATCTGAATTAAAGACAAGTTATCATCTTCAGGTTTAATGTATACTTTTAGTAACGAAATAATAAACTATTATTTTATCATACAAGAAAGTGAAATCCAAATGTGAAATATAATTAGATTTATTGTATCATAAAATTATGTAATATAATCCATAGTATTCTTTAAATTTTAACATAACTAAAGGAAGAAAATTTTATTTGAAGAATATTCTTCTTATTAATGTTATATTACAAGCTTAAGAAATTAATAAGTTAACGTTGTTTTCAATACTAATTGTTTAATTTATTAAAAAATTAACACGTTCCGCAACGAAACACGGTACCAGTAATTCTATTTAATGAGTATATTAATTTAAAGATATAACACTGTATTGTACCCGAAATAATAACATATAATAAAAAATTTGTAGTTACGAAAGAATTTTTCGTAGTATTTTGTTTTTTTTTCAAGATTATTTTTCACAAACTGGAAGTTTTTAATGCGATTTCGTGATTGATGATTCTTGAGAGATTGTATGCGATGTTATTGATTTAGTTAAAATTAAAATTTGGTTATGAAATTAATATTTTCTCCATCTCCTCAACGCTGCTACACATCTGATAATATTTTTATACATTTTTTTAATATAGATACATTTTTTGAATATAGATATATTTTTTGAATATAGATACATTTTTTGAATATAGAATTTTTTGTATAGATACATTTTTTGAATATAGATACATTTTTTGAATATAGATACATTTTTTGAATATTTAAAGATGAAATGCAAACGAGAGCATTAGTAATACATTTTTATTTTGCATATTAAAGGAAGGCATTCACTATTTATCACTCTAACTAAATGTTAGTTATTCTTTGATTTAAAATTGCGACTGCTGATACCTCAACAGATTAATTGCAATTTCGATTCTATTGCATTGTTCCTGAAACTTTGAAAAGAAAACAATATTATTATTACTTTACTATTCAGAAGAAATATAAATATTAAGATGATAAATTTTCAAGCTTATGCTATAGCTATTGTACATATTTGTAATTTCATTTGTAAGTTTCAAGCATTTCAAGGTATTATGCTATTGCATATGGAATAGATATAAATATTACTTTCCTGATTTTCGTCAATAGTTGCAAAATTTATCTAGAATTGCAACAAAAATTTGAAAATTATAAATTTTATACCAACCTTTATATATATAGT